ACTGCTAGAAATGTTAATACAGCATCACTTTTGATACTTGCAAACACCTAGAGAAATTAAAGTGATAAATAGGGGACAACCTGGATTCATCAAAAACAAATATCAAATCAATTTCAGTGAAAACTATACCCTTTGTTGAACCCAACTGTTAGAAAGTTCACATGGTGAGAAGGACATCTCACTAGGAATAGATGCGGAATTGCATGAAGATTGATTGTATAGAATTTGCACAGAAAAGACACACTGCATGATTTTCTGTCTGCATTATAAAGAAATCAAGCATGAACAGGGCATAGAATAGGCCAATCTTTATCAGGATCACCCATAACATTGTTTGCATTTGTTCCATTTGGCAGAAAGTTCACCTATATTAATCTTTACCTGTCACCATGTTGTTCACTGGATAATCCTGAAGTGGACAGTATGCAAGTTTCCCTCCCACTGGTGTTTTTGATACTCTTTTTTCTTTACCGCTGTAGAGAAAAAAAGTGTTATTTTTGCTTCTTTCGTTTACTTTTTAAAGCTTGCTTTCAGGAATGGCTGTGTTACTGGATTCGGCTATTCATGGGAATTTCAAATTTTCCCTTCCCTGCCAATCTATAGTCACGGCTAAGGGCCTAAATTCCACAGCAAGAGCTCCTCATTTCTGAAGAAGTCCAGTGTGGCAAGATGGAAATTCTGCAGCAACCTCTGCTAAATTCACAAATGAAGGTTTTTATTGAATTAAATATGGAAATAAATAATACAATGGGTACAGAATCCATTGTCTTATTTATTTTGATATCACGTTCATTTTATTTCAATCTGGCCTTCCATCTTCAATTTTCATTGCACTGCAGATTTTTGTATTGAACATATAACCACAGTGCAGAAGTTGACAGGAGAGGAAGTTGAAGGTTTTGACAAGTAGGCAGGGCACAGTTGGGAACAAGTGGAATACAGTTTGGGATCCTGAGATAAATACATTAGCTGGATGTTCCTGCTAAAATGATCAACAGCAAAATAATTATGGTTGAGATTTACACTGTAATCATTAGGATTCAGAGTTATCGATCAATTGATATGTTATACCAGGTGTGGCCAAACTGCGGCTGGCGAGCCACATGCGGCTCTTTTACAGCTAAAGTGCGGCTCGCGGAGCCCCCCATGCCTCCCCATTCTCCACCTACCAGACTGGGAGGAGGAGTTCAGGGCTTCTACTTTGCAGCGGGGTGGTGGGGCTAAGGGCTTCAGCCCCACAGGAGGTGCCTGCCGTGGCTCAGGGCTTCAGCCCGGCTCTTGCTGAAGCCCTGAGCACCAGCAGGCACCTCCCACAGGGTGGAAGCCCCACCACTCTGCCACAGGGCACAAGCCCCAAGCAGGTGCACCCGGCTCTCGAACTTCTGAAGATTATCGTATGCGGCTCGGAAGATCAGTAAATTCGGCCACCCTTGTGTTATACGCTCATGTGCCTAAACAGCAGGACCTAAGCAATCCTAACATGGAAATAAAGAAAATACCTTCCATCCAGGTCTTTTTTGCCCTTTATTCTTTGCTCATCCTCTTTTATGCTAGTCTTTATTTCAACTGGTGTTAATTCATCAAGCTGTGGATGTCAACATACATTTTGATTAAAATTGTGCATACAGCCCCTTCTGACTTGATAAGGAAGCAAAGGAAAGTTCCTCTGATAACTATCATTTTCCATTTTCTGACATTCCACGATAGGCACTATCAAATGCAAATTTTACACATGCATGCACACACACACAAAACAAACTTTAAAAATCGCACAAACACCAAAATTGAAGTGGAAACAAAACAGTCTAACCTTGCCCTGCAGAGTGGACTGGGGTTCACCTCAAGGGGGAAATAATCACACAGCTGTGTGATTCCTTTACTGTAACTGCCATCTACAGCCCTTACTTCCTATCTAGAATTTACTTTGGGACTGTTATCAAGTCCAGACCCATTTATCTCAGCTGCGGACACAGGACAGTGAAAGGTCCTTCAGCTGGGCTAAGCTTTTACTACTTAGGATTTTAACACTAAAATCAAACTTTGCAATATAAGGCAGCTTGTGTTGATCATGTTGTCCAGAAATCTTAGCCTCTGGCAGGAGGAGATTCTTGCATAGCAGTAATTTGCCTGGGGAGCAAGAGATCTGAACCCAAATTTTTGGCATAGTAGTACAAAGGACTACCATTAAGCTACCCAACCCAGCCAGCAGTAACCAGAGAAAGCACAAAAGCTTTGTAACCTGCTTCTGTGGGTTGAGTACTTTATATCATTGTTGGCTTTTCTCAATCCATTTCATTATTTTTAAGAATATGGACATTGTTTTGTGGTGATAGTAGTGAATCCCTCTGCAACTCCATTTCCTGCAAGTTCTGAATGATTGCTTCCTGGACACCATGCAGTAGAAGGGGGATACACAGTAGGCCAAAGGCAGTAGTAGACATCTTGATTATCACAATTCAATCCAAAAAAAGCCAAAAACATTTGATCCACTGTTTAACTTGAAGCCCTGGAATGAAATCCTGCCTCCACTGAAGTCAGGCAAAGTTTTGCCATTGATTTCAATGGGACAGGATTTCACCCCGATGTGCATTTAGTACAACCTTACCTGTTCCATCAGGGAATCATTCATCTGCTCCCATATAAAACTACCAAGTTTTCTTCTAATTTCTGTAGTGAATAAAAATAAATTAATGTCAAAAGTATTACACAGTGGTATCTGTCCAGCAAAAATCAGTCAGCTAGCAGAGATGATCTTTAACCAAGTGTGAAACAAAACTGTAATGACCACTGATTGGTACCTAGGTCAGGATCTCTAGCAGTGGTTACACAGACTCCTTTGTCTCCGCACAGTAAACAGCAAAACAGGCCTCCCACTCCTGGCTAGACATGCAGTGACTCTGCCCCATGCCAATGCAATCTGTCCCCGCCTTTGGATCAGTCCACCCTGTCCATGCTCTCTGAGGCTGGTGTGCGGTATGAGCTCAAAATAATGGGTCCTGTCGCATGGGCTCAGCTGTTCTGTCAGGTCCAGGCTGAGCACTTATAAGAGTCCCCTTTTACAAGCTGGCTCCCTCCAAACAGCTCCCTGTCTCCCATAGCTCAGGGTTCCTGCTCTCTGCTTCTTCCTGTTTCCTATCTGAATCTTCCCAGGTTGGTCCCCCATCTGCTCATTCACTCAAACCCTCCCGGGGGGTCCCTCTTTTTTTCTTTTTCATGGCATAGCAAACTTGACTGGCTAGTCCATAGCCATCACCAACTATAATTCCTAAATACCTAGGGATTTATATTCTCCCCTTAATTGATTAGATAACTTCTACATATGGAGGCATCCTTTCTTATTACCATAAGGCTTGATATCGAGTCTGAAAAAACGACTGCCGCTGCTGGGTGCACACTCCAGATCCAATTTAACACTAGCATTATCGCCACCAGCTCAGCTGTCATGACAGCTACACAATCGGATATTCTTTTAGACATATTAATTCCTAATTTTGATACATAATATGCCGTCCCTATTCTTCCTGTTTTTAATCTTTTGGACTCCCAAGGGTCAGAGTTAATTCTGTGTCCTTGTTTTGGAGTGGCACTCTGCTCTGCCTGCCAGGTTTGTGAAGAGTAGCAGGGAGGAGAGAAAAAGGGGGGTTGGAATGGCATTCCCCCCCCCCCAAACAATCAGGTTTGTGGAGTGTAGCAGGCGAGAGGAGAGAGAAATGGGGAGAAAGGAAGGGAAGAGCTTTTTGCCCAGCCCCACATCAACTGTCAAGATACCGGAAACTGCAAGATCCCAAACTCATAGGTGACTCCAATCCACTCATCTGCTAGGAAACAAACGGCCAAACATATTAGCAAAGCAATACCTGTGTAATGGCACATGCCCTGACTGAGGGCAGCTCATGGAGCAGCAGCATTTGTGAGTGAGATGGGCATGATTTCACTCACACTGCCAACCTAGACCTGCACCTAGTAGAGGGGTAAGCACCACGAGCAGCAGTAGATTCAGATCTACCTGCACTGCAGAACTGTGCATGCCTCCAGTCCTGGGACACTCCCTATGCCCCTTCTCCCCCAGTATACCCAGACTGAGGTCACTGTAATTTGACCACGTATGTTAAACATCACCAACAGTCTCGGTTTTAAAACAATGATTAAACTGTATGCTAAATGCTCTATATTTTTCCTAACCTTCTTGTACACAGGCAGGGGGAAGGATGAAGTGACCCAAAGCCACTGTCTGTTTCATTTCAGAGCTGGCACTTGCATTTGCAGAGAGATAACAAGAATGAAAAATTGTAGCTTTACCCTCTATATAATCTAGGCTCTGGTGTATTCTAGAAGAAAGAAAAAAAACAGAAAAAGCTTTTATAAAAAAGAAATGTGAAAAAAACAAATCATAATTATTTGAATGATCAATTTAACCCTAGAGTGTACCAAGGCTGGACACAGTGACTAATGAGTTTAAAGGGATTGTAAACTCTTTAGTGCAGAGACTGTCTTTTTGTTCTGTTTGTGTATGGTGCCTAGCACAATGGGATCCTAGTCTGCAACTGGGGTTGCTATGCACTATGATAAGTCAAATAATAAATAAAAATAAGAATACTGTCATGCAACTGACCTACTTTAAATTGTTTCAATTGTTGTAAATATTAATATTTCAAAAGTTAATATAAAGCTGTCACAAAAAATAGAGAGCGGGGTGGCCAACCTGAGAGAAAGAACCAATGTACATTGCCAAAGAGACACAGTAATACGTCAGCAGCCCCCCATTAGGCCCGCTCCCAGCGCCTCCCACCCACCAGCAGCCCCACCGATCAGCGCCTTCCCCTCTCCCCCCACACCTCCCAATCACCTGTTTTGTGGCATGCAGGAGGCTCTGGGGGAGGAGCGAGGGCCCGGCAGGCTCAGGGGAGGGGGCGGGAAGGGGTGGAGTGGGGGCAGGGCCTGTGGCAGAGCCAGGGGTTGAGCAATGAGCCCCCCCCAGGCACATTGGAAAGTTGTCGGGAGTCGGTGCCTATACAAGGAGCCGCATATTAACTTCTGAAGAGCCGCATGTGACTCTGGAGCCACAGGTTGGCCACCCCGATATAGAGCATGTTTTACATCCAAAATCATTAATTAAATATATAGTGCATGGAAACTGATATTACAGATACATTTTTATTTTGAAACAAATTATATGAAAAGCATTTTCTCTTTCACTATCTGTCAAGTCCTGACTTCAGGGTTGTGCATTTTTCCTGACAGTTGATGCAAGCGGAATTACATATAACTATGCCAGACAGGTAATAATTGGCATAGTTCTGTCAGAGGGTTGCAGTGTTATCAGCTGTTGTGGGGAAAACAAATCCTTAGCTCATAACTTGACTGGTAAATGCCTGCAAAGGTGTAGGGATAGTTATGAAATGACAGAATTAAAGTTAGCTTGAGTTTGGTAAAGAAAATAATATATTTGCTTTATGGTGTGTGGTTAGTAAGGAAAAGGCCCCAACCAGCAAGAAAAAAAGGCCACATCAGCCTCACCAACCCACTGAAGCAAGGAGGCAGAGCCCACAGATCAGGTACATATGTATTTTATATACTAAATGGCATGGCTTTGCAAACGGTTAAAGAAATGGTTCAAGTCCTTTGAATAGAAGTGAATATCTTTACATTGTTTCAAAGCCACAAAGTATTGACAAAAACCTGCACTTAATGTTTGGTGACCTGTTGGCCAGCACCATGCTCCAAAGCCTTCTGTGGCAGTAGTAGTATCATCATAGTACACAATGGGGTATTGCTTCAGAACTGAAGCCAGTGATGTCATAAAAACTAAGCAGAAAAGGGAAAGTTTTTAGGTAATAACATGTTGAATTCCCGTTATCCTGATTAATAGGAGAATGTGGTGCATATGGCTAAAGTTAACAGAACATTGACAATTCCCTGTGTGTGTCATCTGTAAAATGTATTTAGCTGACATTTAATCTATACCAGCGGTCCACGGCTCGCCCGCATGCGGCCCAATTAGCAGACAGCTGTGGCCCAGCTGTGTGCTAAAATAAATTCAAAATGTGCTGCTCTGGTCTGGCAAGGGGTGGGGCTGGCTGAGGGGGAGACAGTGTCTGGCAGCCTGCAGGAGCACTCCTGCCAGCAGGGGGTGGGCAATTGCCGCAGGGGGGCAGGGTGCAGGAGTGGGGGGTCTCTGGGCAGGTTTGTGGGGCTGGGTAGAGCACACTGGAACTAGGGGTTTGCAGGGGTGCTGCAGCACCCCCAGGTTTTAGATGGGGCTCTGCTCCTGGCCCCATACCTCGGGATCCTGGCTGCCGGCCAACACCGGTTGCTCTGCTCCTGGCTGGGGGTCCCGAATGCTTAGCCCCACTTGGCAGGGTCCCTGGGTCCAGGTTGCAGGGTCCAGCTGCTGGCCGCACATGATGGGTCCCAGGGTCCAGCTGCCGTGCCCAGGGTTGCGCTCCTGGCCCCGTTCTGTGGAAGAGTCTCTGGGTGGGGGGCACTGGGCATAGGGGACTGTAGGGAGTTTTTGGATGAGTGGCACTGTGGTTCTCAACCTGCAGGCCATAATGATAAATATATTGAGAACCACTGATCTATACAAATATTCACTTCATGATTGAGGATCTTTTACAGTCTTTTCTTCATTTTAAGCTTTGCAGCTCTCCTTTAAAAAAAACCCACTGTCAAGCCCTCTTTTGTTTTATGTATTTCTTTTCCTTTGTTTGTAATAACTTGGCAGACTGAAAGTAAAATTTCTTTCCCTAGCAATTTGACTGTTTTCCATTTGGAAAGTATTGATTTTTTTTCTCCCACCTTGCTTATAAAGACTGAATTTTCAATGTCTCTTGTTTTGATTACGTTCTTATACCTCAGTGAAGAAGTCAGCAACATTCTGGGATTTGAGGTTGCTAGCTAACTGCTACAAAACCAGCTGGGAGAGCATAACAGCAGAAAAGATTTCATTTAACTGTAGAATTAACGCTGGTTTGGAAAACTAAACTACTTTTCTTTTTTGCATTTAAGTTTTTATTAACAAAGGCCAGGTCTACACACACATTTTGTATCAGCATAACTATTTTGATTAGGGGGGTGATATATATTTTTAAACCAAAATAGCAATACAAGTACAACCCCTACTATGAATGCAGTTATACTGATATATAGGTGCCTTCCACTGGTATAGCTCTTTCCCCCTTACCTTACAGGAATAAGCTATGCAGTATAAGCACCTTTAAGTTGTGTCACCACCTTTGTCTTTTGATAGGCTTGTCTGAGCTCCTTAACTTTCACACAGCACTGATATGAGTCCCTATTGTGGCCTCTCTTCATCATGCCCTTGGAGATTTTTTCAAATGTTTTGGCATTTCGTCTTTTGGAACGTAGTTCTGCTAGCACGGAATCCTCTCCCCATATAGCGATCAGATCCAGTACCTCCCGTACGGTCCATGCTGGTGCTCTTTTTTGATTCTTGGACTGCATGGTTACATGTGCTGATGAGCTCTGCGTGGTCACCTGTGCTCTCCACGCTGGGCAAACAGGAAATGAAATTCAAAAGTTCGCGGGGCTTTTCCTGTCTACCTGGCCAGTGCATCCGAGTTCAGATTGCTGTCCAGAGTGGTCACAATGGTGCACTGTGGGATAGCTCCCAGAGGCCAATACTGTCAAATTGCGGCCACACTAACCCTAATTCGAAACGGCAATGTGGATTTCGGCGCTACTCCCCTGTTCGGGGAGGAGTACAGAAATCGATTTGAAGAGCCCTTTATTTCGAAGTAAAGGGTTTCGTTGTGTGGACGGGTGCAGGGTTAATTCGATTTAACGCTGCTAAATTCGAACTAAACTCATAGTGTAGACCAGGCCTTTGTATCAGCATAACTATTTTATTAGGGGAGTGATATATATTTTTAAATCAAAATAGCAATACAAGTAAACCCCTACTATGAATGCAGTTATACTGATGTATAGGTGCCTTCTACTGGTATAGCTTTTTCCCCTTACCTTACAGATAAGAACACAGCCAAACAGCTACAAGAGTCAAACCTACAAAGTGTACCTCTGTGTATCAGGGTGTGAAGCATCACTGCTGAACAGGTAATCAGCACCATGATGAGTTGAAATCACTCCTCCTTCAGCCACTGCAGAAAAATGGGCACATTGAGCGCATATGGCACTCTTGGTTTAGGATTATTACCTCCAGTATGTTCAGAGCACCTTTCTATTTGAGGTCAGTGTCTCCAGTCCTAAGGAACAAAATATGAACTTCTGCTTTTTACCTGACAGTTCACCCCTAGTCACAGATTTTTAGATTTGAAGGCCAGAGGGATCGTTATTATCATCTAGTCTGACCTCCTGCGTAACACAGGCCAGAGAACTTCACCCAGTTATTCCTGCATCAATCCTACTCAGCCTAATGCAATCCTACTACAATTTATCTTCTCTATTGTTCGGCCATTTGAAATGTTTAGAAAATCCCCAAAATGCAGTATTTTGAGTTCTCAAACTATTTAAAAAATGTATTTGGAGACCTCCAAGGCCTAAGGACCAAGGTATATTTTCCTAACCCATCACTTTCTTATTCTGTGGCATATAAAAGAGTTCATTCAGTTCTTGGGAACTTATATACATTGTAACTGTCCTGATCAATCATTCTCCCTTGACAACAATCTTGCATTCATTCCCTATTCTACTTCCCCAATGGCTCACACTGGAACTCACAAGAGTAAAAGAGCCCCTGCCAAGTGAAGTTTACAATAAGGCTGTTTCTGGTGTACTTGGAGAGCAGGAGTTTGGTTCACAGTCTGAATGAGCCCTCCTCAGGGCAGAAATGGAAGGCACAAGGAAAGGTGACATGCAGACACATTTCCGCCTCCCTCTTTTAGAGCTGGCCAGCAACCTGCTCTAACTTTGGGCTTGTCCACACAAACACTTAGATCCAGGGCTTTGGAGCTGTGCTCCGGCTTCGCTCCAGCTCCAGGCAAAAACCTGCAGCTCCACTGCTCCGGAGCTGCTCCATGCTCCAGCTCCGGGCTCCGCTCCAAAGTCCTGCTTTGATCACAGCAAGAACTAGCCTGCCACACACTAAGTGTCCATGTGGACTCCGCTGCTGTGCACTAAAAGTTCCATATTGCACTTTGACCTACCCCACTTTGAAACAAGAGATTAAAATCTATGAATTAAGGCCAGAAGGGACCATTGTTTGCTCTCTTGTATAACACAGGCCGCAGAACTTCCCCAAAATAATTCCTAGTTCACATCTTTTACAAAAACATCCAATTTTGATTTAAAAGTTGCCAGGTATGAAGAATTCACCATGACCCTTGGCACATTGTTCCAATGGTTAATTACCCTCACTGTTAAAAACATATGTCTTATTTCCAGTCTGAATTTGCCCAGCTTCAACTTCAGGCCACTAAATCACATTATAACTGTCAAGGCTGATTCCCCCCTCTGGCACTTCGAGTGCAGAAGGTGGGGGCCCACAAGGATTCTAAAAATTAACACTGGCCATTCCCGGCTTGTATTAAACTCCCAAGGTTACAGATTTTCTCTGACCTTGGACGGGTAGATTCTGCCACCACCCAAGTGCAAAAACCTCTTTGAAAACCCAGGAAGAACTTGGGAATTCCTCCCTGTGGGGTACCCTCAAGTCCTTTCACCCCCCCCCCCTCTGGGGAAGAATTGAAAAGAAAACAAAGGAAATCAGCTATTGCCACCAGCTAATTAAACAACATGTGCACAAACCTCTTAGGATACAAAAATCCAATCCTAGTTCTTAAAAAAGGTAAATTTTATTAAACAAAAAGAAAGAAAATACATCTGAAAACTTAGGCTATTGCTAGATTTAAAAGAGCAAATACAATAATTAAGCATCAAGAATGGTTTTCTTGAGGTCCAGCTTAAAGGTTACAAGCAAAACAAAAGCATTTGGGGTTAGCACAGAAGAGTTCATAGCCATAAAGAAATAAACAGGGATAAACCTAATCACGTCTTCCTAGACATTTCCTGATCTACTTACATATCTGGGGTTTCAAATGAGTAGTTTCTAGGTATGATCTGATTAATTTTCATACCTAGCCAAAGTTTTTACAGCATAGTTCCAGCCCTGTCTTTGCTCTCCGGGAGAACAACACAGACAGACAAAGGGAAAGTTTTTTCCTTATTTTAAAAAGTTCTAGCCTTCCCATTAGCTCTTTTGGTCAGGTGTCCACTCCTTTCCTTTTACCTATGGACTTTTTAACCCTTTAAGGTAAAGCAAGTAGAGAACAACTACTAACAGAGATTTTATAGCTCACTGACTGGGTGTTCATAAAAGGTAGCAAGCTCCCCCCCCCCCTTCATTTATCACAATAACTTTCTCAGCTAGATTAAATATTTAATAAATCAATCTTTT